GATGAACACAAGTGTTAGTAAGACAGAAAAAAAACAAACAAACAGAACAGGGCAGTCTCCAGCCGTAAGATGGAAAATATTAGTGTTCAAGGTCTCTTTCCCAGACTTGCTTTCCTTGAGGCTGCGTTTGGAACAAGCAGTTTGCCAGCAGTAACTCCACCTTCTGCCTAATCTCCTTTCCTTCTGCATCTCCTTTTAATATATATGCCAGAGGAAGGTGAGAATTATACCCTCGTGAGCCTTGCCTTACAGATACGCAGCACACACGGTGTGGGTGTTGGAGTGCCTGCAGAGCATTTCTATACGGACAGACAGGAAAGAGCAGTTCAGGTGGATGTGGCTGGTTGAATGTCCGTGAGCTGAGCTCTGTCTCCAAGGTCGTCTTTACCTGTTTGCGGATGTTCACATACTCAAAGGAGACACAGAAATGGTCTGAGCAGAGGGCTCTTCTTTTTCTTTTCTTGAACTGCCTGAGGACTGCTATAAATACTCTGTTAACTGGCTGTAGTAGTGTGTGCAGAGATACAAGAACAGTAACTTCTCATCTGAGAAATTCAGTCTGTTTTTCCGAAACTCATTCACCTCCATTTGGAGAAGCCCTTTTTATCTTGTACCTTGTGGAACACAGAAATGCCAATGAGTTCCTTCTGTTTTATTTTTCTCTCCTGCTAAGTGAGAGCCTCGTCTGGGAAGAGGAGCAGATCGTCATCTTGGTACTGCTGCAAGTTCTTTTATGTCATTGGCTGCGCTCTATGTGATTGATGGGTTATTGGCAATAAAAATGCCAAGAGTTAAGACTAATGATCATATCTGACTCACACGTTTTTTCCATATTGAGAATTACCTTTGGCAGGAATGCTCTTATACAAAAGATTGAAAGTTCTTTTATATTAAAAAAAAGAAAAAAAAAAAAAAGAAAAAAAAGAAAAGCCAAAGGTTAAATATACACACTTGAAAATCCTTATCTGGCATATATATTCTTTTAGGAATATTTTCTCCAGTAATTGAACAGATTATTTAATGGCATTTAAAAAAATAAATCCCCAAATATAAATCTATCTACAAGTATCATGCCTCTTAAATTTTTTACTCAGTTGTGTCCAAGAACAGTCTCTCCAAGTTCTAATGCTTATGGGGAAAGGAATATGTGAACATAAATGGAAACTACTGAAGCCTATGCAACAACACTGGGTTTCTGAAGCACTCCCTGTGACCCCTTTTAATATTTTCTTTCCATCATCTTCATGAATATAGTACTGGCAGCACTGATAGAAAGAATTGCTTCATTTGGGATCGGGTTGAGTATCAGAAGCTGTCCTCCCCCTTCTCCATGATTTTCGTTATCTGTGTTTTAGTACATAAGTAATGATTACAGTTGATTTATCTGCAGTATGGGCTCTGAAAAAATAAATTAGAGTAATCCAATATGAGGATACATTAAGCTGTAATAAGTTTTAATGATTTCCTCTACCGGATTGTTTAAGGTTGGCCCAGGGTTTTGACTTAACATAGAACTCCTTGTTTAAAGCCGTGTACGTTCAGCAGATTTCTTGTTGCTGTCTCTTTAAAATAAACAAATCTGAAAACAGAGAATAGAAAACCTAACAGGAAAATTACTGGGAAGCACATTCCCATATCTGCAGGGAATCTTGTGGATATTCATTTTGCCTGTGTAGAAACTGGAGTCTAAGGAGTACTGTGAAACTCTCCTTTTTGCAAGCATAATGGCCCCCTTTTTGTACTGGTCCCAACTGTTACTTTCTTTTTCTTCCAGAGGAGTAGCTGCTCAAGTTTCACAGCATCAGCTCTGCAAAATTTTGGCCTGGTGATGCCTCATTGCCAGAACTGGTCAGCAGCTCCTGTGGCCCTTCTTGTTGTGTGCAGAACAGGGGACCAGAAGGATGGTTCCTTGGTTAACAGCTTAGGATCTGAACAAAAAGGCTGCTGCATCCTCCTTGTGCATGCTCCTGGAGGGAGCATCATTTTTCAGAATTAAGCATTAATCATAAATTAATTCTCCTTTGGGATCAAAATGGAATCGATGGAATCGATTGTTTTTTCTTTTTTTTTTTTTTTTACTAGAGCCTGTGTGTTAGTAGATACAGAGCACAGGAGATGTTTTATCCACCCCCTAACGATTCCTGGTAATAGACAAGAAACTTCATTCAGTTATTTTGAAACCAGATGTAGAGTTCCTACTCAGGTTAATCCCCGAGAAAGATTAGTTAGAGCTTGTAGATGCATTGTGCTGTGTTGAACATCTCCAAATGGATGTTTATTTTAGCTATTCTCTACCACTGTGCTTTGTGTGACTCAGTTTTCTCTCCAAACTGGTTTATGGATTCTCCGAATCCTTACAACTTGTTCGTTTCTGTTCATTTCCAAATGTAAAACAATTGATGGACAAGTTGGCAGTTGCTGTGTCCTGTTACAGAGATTTTTCCTTGTGTTTGTGGTGTCTGTTTTTGCCTTTGTGCTGTTTAGCCAGGAAAATAAGTGTCAGTAAAATGGTATGTTTTGTTAGTGGCTCCTCCCCAAACAACTGTGGTGGTGGGTTTGTGCTCTCAATCTATTCTACTAACTAGGAAAGGTTAATGCTTAGAGGGGAGCCGATGTTTTCATGGATGTTTTTCTCTTCAAATTTACCCCTAAAACAAAAAAAGGTTATGAATTTAAGTAAGCAATCTTGAAACATACATTGATGCATTGAAGAGCAGTGTAAATCCGTGCTGGTGGCTTATAGTAAAGTATTTCCTCATTCTAAATTAGTCTAAATTAGCTATATGCCATCTGGCTTAACTCTCCAGATTGTCTTAAAAAAATGAACGCTATTTAAAAACAACAACAACAAGAAAAACACCTTTTTCTTATTTTTATGTCAATTTTAAGTGCTAAGACTTTTTTTTCCCCAAATATAAACTTAATCTGAGCAAAAGCCGAGGGAGTTTGTAAATGGAATTTTATTGAATTTATTTCTGCAGCTGCAATTAATTATTCAGGGCGCTCATTAAAAATGAGCTTTGGTGAGTGACATTTTAAAAAGGCACTCAGAAATGATCGGGAGAAAGATGGTGATAAAGAACAATGTCTAAAAGGAAGTATAAAATTTTTGAACGTTTTAAACTGGCCTGTAAAAACTTAAAGCTATTTGGGCGATTTGGGAAATGTGACGAAAACACAGATTGCTGCTAGACTGGGGGAACTGCCAACACTGCCACGTATCGGCATATTATCAAGTATTTGGTGTGTTTCTTTCTTCAAATGTTTGGTGCTGATACTGGGAAAATAGAAGTTGCCTTTTTTTAAGTAGGAGAATTCCGTCTCTAGTAATGTACATATTTTCTCTTAATAAGGATTCATGTTGAAAGGTGACTAGTAAAGCATCATAAGCCCTTACACTGCAGATAGCAACTAAAATAAACCAAAAAAAAACCCAAAAACCAAAAAACAACCAATTTGTTGCTTAAGAATTTGAACTTCACATACACATGAAAAGCTATAGTACACTCTGTACTTGTCCATGATTAGACAAACATCTTCCAGAGCTTCACGAGGTTTGCAGGCCAACAGATCATTGGCACTCCGTAAGGAATCCCATTTGTTACTAGCAACAGATAGAATTTCTGGAAGAGGGGAGCAGAGCATTAAGGCCCTTGGACTTTTTGTATCCATAAAAACCATGGTTAGCCATTTTAGCTGAGCCAAAGTTGAGATCCATTAATTGTTAGCTCTTATGACAGTTTCTTTTCTGTAGGTCCGTAGTGTTGGATATTGTAGCTCTTAGTCCTATGTAGACCCATGAATATTCATGCAAGCAGGCGCTCTGTTGCAGCTGAAATAAACAGAGTTGCTGTCATCAGATTTGTTCAATTTGTCTTTCGTATTTGCGTTTTGACAATTAGCCAAGGAATACAGTTAAGAAAAATAAATGCCCATTGGTTGTGTTTGAGATGTTGGACCAGCAAAAACACTAGCGGAATATTTACCATGTGAAGCAAAGAGAAAGAAGAAAGCTGCCTCTGTCACTAAAATGCAAATTTTTCTTCTATGTTCTTTCTCTCTGTAAGTTTACCATGACCACAGTAAAAACAGTCTTAAATATCAAAATGATGTCTTACTTAGAGTAGTGGTGTGGGAATAATGGTGGTAATCCCTGAAACCAAATTAAATGGTAGGTAAACTGCATGATGAAGACAATAATTTACTTGGTATTTACTTTTTTTTAATACATATATTGTAGACTTAGTGCACTTTCTGCGTACAGCACTTCTCTGGTTATTTTATTTTGCATTGTCATCACCTGTGATAGGGAAGGCATTTTGGTTTCTCCCTGCTTCACACACTAACTGCTTTTCTCTTGTTTTAGATTTGTTTTTTTGTATGTGAAATGCACACAAGAAATATTTAGTCTTGTTATTATTTCAAGTTAGTTTGTTCATGTTCTGCTCTGATACCCCCAGTACCACCCTCCCTTCCAAGCCTCCAAAGCCCTCAGCCCTGGCAAACAATACTGCTTTTACACTAAGCTCGTTATCTGATCATGCAATAAATACTTTCCCATTTTTTTCTAGGAATTATCCCACTAAAAATGCTGCATTACTGTGTAAGTTGGCTGTAGTATATCTAAAAATGCTCACTTTCAGACTTTTCAAAAGAATTTGGTGGCTCTTTGAAGCTGTGGTTTGCAGCCTTCCTCCTGTGTATCTCGAGTTGATGAATTCTTTATCGCTTTTCCAGGGGTCATGGACTTTTATATAATTCCATTGAAGCTGTCCGTCCTCCGAAAGAATTATGAGTACTTAAAGTGATACAGATGTCAAATGCGATGGATTACCAGCTTTTGCATTTGATACATAACCACGATGCTGGGAGAAAAACAGAGACTGCCTCTAAACCTTGTTCTTTAAGTAGGCTGTGTGAACAATAAGACTGTGTTAATGTATTATTTAAAAGGTTTTCTCCTTCACATTCCATTTTCCTCTCTGATTTTTGTCTTGTAGTGTTGTCCCCCAGACCACAGTAATACTGAACAACGACCGGCAGAATTCAATCGTAGCCAAGATGGTCGGGCAGGAAGAGCCATTGAGCAGAGCAACAGATTCTCTGGACATCCTTAGCAAGTTAGTATCGTAACTTGGAAAAGACCTCCAAGATCATCAAGTCCAACCCTTAACCTAGCACTGCCAAGTGTTGTGGATGAGGTGGTTGTAGAGAGTGATAAGGTGCCCTCCATGCCTCCTTTTCTCTAGGCTAAATAACCCCATTTCCCTCTACTGCTCCTCGAAGGGAGGAGTTATGGGAATCCTCCCCCTTCACTCCTTCCTTTGACAGATGAGTAGTAGTCTGCAGCAACTCCAAGGGAAAGTGAAGAATGTTTTAAGTAATGGTGGTGGTGGAAATAGAATAAATTCAGGTACTAATTGAATGCGTCCTGCTGACAGTGCTGCCTGGGGAAACCCCATATCAGCAGTAAAGGTACACAGCAATGCTTCACTGTTGATGTGCAGAGAACATTTTTGGAGGATCTGGGATTAGTTCAGTGTTAGTTAAGAGCTGACAACTGAAAGAGTGCCTATAGCTACATATTTTTTTACATGGACGCATAATCACTTGAGGATGTGCCAATATTCTTTTTTTAATCAATTGAATAAAGAATACACAGGAGCCCAGTGAGGCTTGTTAAATTTTGTACTATCTAAAGGAAATTTTCAATTAAGTGGAACTGGAGATCCTGGTTAGACAATTTTCTTAAATAATATGTTTCTACTAACTATTGAAATAGCTTTTGCACATGGGACTGGGACAATTTGCATCAATTTGCATCAATTTCTATTCATGGTGCACCTAAAACTTTTCTGTTATTTTCATTCAGTTTTATTTTGCTTGATAGCCCATAGGTATAAACAGGAGAAGGCTTGCTAAAGGAGTACTCTTTTATAATGCTTTTAATTTTGTCAGATAGTGTTTTTAATTCCCTTATAATGTTTTTTTTTTTTTCCTGATCAAGGATTATGTTTTCCAAAGTTACATACTTTTTTTTTTTTCCATAGTGCTGTTCCTGGACGTAGGCAGAACACGATAGTGGTGAAAGTCCCAGGGCATGACGACAGTCACAACGAAGATGGAGAGAGTGGCTCTGAGGCCAGTGACTCAGTTTCCAACAGTGGACAATTAGGAAGCCAAAGTATCGGGAACAATGTGACTCTTATTACGCTGAACTCTGAAGGTATGCTTATCTAAGTACAAGGCTACTTGAGCAAAGCCAATGTGATGGGGAATGAACTAAGATTTAACTGGGAGCTTAAGAGATTGCATCGCAATATTTGTGATATTTCAATCACAAATAAGATGGGATAAGAGACTCTGAATTTTAGATGAAGATAACTTACGATAAATTGTTTTACAATAAATTTGAACATATCACATGAGGAAATTTATTCTATGCTTTCTGCAAGGATTTAGTCTAAATTATCTGCTTTGTAGGATTAGGGAATAGTTGGAACTTCTCTGCTCAAGTTTCGATCAATGTCTGATAACTTGGGAATCCTAAAATGTTCATTTTTACAAGCTGGGTTCTAGTTACCTATTGTCTCCCAAATTGGTGAAACCAGTATGGGGAAGGTGTGAGTTGTATTGGTTGTATTGAGCAGTCAGAAGATGTTTCTAGTAATATTTTTGGCTCTTTGACCCTCTCTGTTTTGTCTAATTTATCTAACTGTATTCCTTGCATTGTTCCCTAGTTTGTGGAATGTAAATTCAGAACACTCTGGTTATAGGAGCTGGCTGAATGCAAGACATGCTCACTGAGATCTTTGGAAGTAGCTGTTGCTTTCTGTGCTTGAGTGCCAGTAATGGGACCAGTAAAGCACATTATATATTTCTATGGAGGAGGCAAAGAGAAGGATGAATAAGCAGGCTTTCAAATTTTTTATTTTTTGCTGCTTTAAAAAAATGACTGATAGGATGAATAGCACAAATATAAATGATGAAATTATTATGGTGCAGATACTGCTCAAGGTAATACAAATTATTATCCTGTACTATTTTAATGGAAATTGAAGTATTTATTTATCAAGATTTTTGTTTTCCTGGAAATGTACTTTGTGGAATTTTAATGAAATCTGATGGATTTCTGAGAGAAATCTGATACTAACACCAACATCGAAATATTCTGTATTTGTAACACTATAAAGCATACGTATAGCTCAGTATTTATAGCAGAACTGTTCTTTAAGGTTTCTTTCTGTAGCTTTAAAGCTGTGTGAGGTAGAAAACCGTATGCTTCTAGAGAGGGAAAGTACTTTGAAACTTTCATGGTGGATAATCAGACTTTACACTGCCTGTGTTGACTTAGATTTAAAATCAGGAAAATTTGAGGAATATTAACATAATTTTATTCAGCAAATTAACATCCCAAGTGGAAACTGAGTGTTCTTGGTACCATCATGCCTGGAATGGCAGGACTCTTATATGAAAATAAATTCTTTGTGGAGTCTGTTAATATTTCATACAGCTCTGCGTCAGCTATGTCAGGAGCAAAGTTTCTAACATTAGGAGAGTATTTGTTTTATAATGCCCTTTTTGACTTGGTTGTTTGGCACAGATTTGCACAGACAAATGTGATGTTAGCGTTTTATACAATTGTTGTATATGTAAATTTTGCAGAAACAGCTAATCCATTAAAGTCTTCAGATCTGATTTTTCTTCAGACCTTTAGAACAGTCATCCATTAGAAATCTCTCCGAGATTGATGAATGCTTTGAGAAATCAGATTAGTAATCCCCCACACTTACCTCTTCTTGCCCTCACGAAGATGAGAGAGGACCGCTTGCACAGAAGGAATGCTAAGCAAACTAGCCTGCAATATGTCACAAATTAAATTATTAATAAAGGAAGTGATGAAGAATAATAGGTCTGTTGTGCAGACTTGTTTTCTTCAGCAGTAAAAGGTAAAAGTTACAGCACCCATCAGTTTGCTTTAGCTGTCTGGGAAAGAATTCTGAATGCCTTTGGGTTGCTCAAAGGAATCTCAATTTGTTCTAAAATACAAGGGGATGAGAACGGCGTACTTCAGCCCTTTTCTCAGTACGAATCCCACCTGTTGTCTTGTGTCTAGAAAGCAAAACGAAGCCATACCTATAGCTGTCTTTAGCTGACCTTGAACGTGGCATTAACCTCTGGGTATTTTCTGAATTTAGTTAATAGATTTATATACATGCATCATTTGCTCTCTGCTGGCTGTTTTCAAAAAGCATTTAATCCTGTATGGTAGTTTAGAAGATCTTATTTTTTCAGGAATAGAAAGGCAATATAACCAGTTAATACAGAAGCATGGGGCCCAATTCTTGGTGTTGTTCCCACGTTTTTTAGGAGTCATTTGTGTAATAGCCATTTTCTAAATACATGAACATCTCTGCTTTAGCATAAATGTTTTCTGGGGGAAAAAATAAAACCAAATATGAGTTATAGCATGACACATCAAACTTCTAAACAAAATACTTTACCGTGCAAGTATCTTCTAACAACTTGGACAGAGGTTGACTTTCTGAAAAGACTTCATAGGTGAAAATAATGTAATTAGCAAAAACACTCATTTTCATTCTGTGTTTCCTGAGGTACTGTAGGGTTTTTCTTCAATCTGGAGGAAACCTGTGTTTAAAACTTTAGGGAAGTTTTCTTGTTCATTGTCCTAACTTTTTGTTCCCAGCATGGATATATCTTTCGCGTTTAATGGAATAAGAAACAAACATGTATCACTAAGATTTGTTTCAAGGAACTGTCAGCAACTGATGGATGTGTTTTTTTGCTCTTCTTGAAAGTGCAGTGAATTTTGACATGAATGTTTTCCCTGTAGTTTTTGATACAGCTTATTCCCAGTTTAAACAAAGTTGTGCTCTTTGTATCTAGAGTTTTCTAATTAGGCTTAAAAACAATGAGCGACTGATTAATGAAGAACATTTTTAAAACATCATCATTTGGGCTTTGTGTCTCTGCGTGTGCTGTTTTGGTAATCAGCTGTTGTAGATCTTAAGGAACAGTTTTTAAAAAAAAACACAAAACAAACGCGTTTGTCCATTTGTGTTTATAATCATTTAGTTGTGTGTGTTAAATAGTTTATCCATCTGTTTTCCTCTGATTGGAATGGAAGTGATGCTTCTCAGGCAGGCCGAATTGTGTCATTTAGGCCATAGGCACCCTCCTATTTACTATGAATTATGAAAAGTGAAAATAGAGGAAGTCATTTCATTAGGTTCATTGATGACGGTTTGTAGTGGGAGAGCCATTAAGTTTTATACACTAAACATGTTGACTTTTTTTTTTTTAAATGCTTGGGTGGGAGTTTGTCATAGGACTTAATGACGAGGTGACCCTATTTTCCTATTTGCCTTGTCGGTTTTCAGATGTTGTACTTCCTACATATTGAGGGTAGTGAATAGAAGAAAAAGGTCAAAGTGTTAGTTATTTTGAGAGAGGCTATTTTTCTGTGCTTTCTAGAATTCTTGTACATTTATATAGGTCTGTAGAGACTCTGGATTGGATTTCACCAACCTAAAATGCTACAGCTGATATTTCATGTTCTTTCACAGAACTTATGTTGTGAATTGATTCTTTAGGTCTTTGTTTCTTGAAGGTATCAGTACTGGTGATTACGTGATAAGTAAGGCCTCATGTGTCGTCTCTCTTCATGAAAACTTTGGTTCCAATACTTTTGCGTTCTTCTGGATTTTTGTCTTCTACCACAGAAACTAATACCAAGAAGAACGTTAGATCCACAGTAGTTTTAAATTACAGAAGTTTTAAACCTCTGATATTAAGTACCTATATTATTTTCTGATTTTAATAAATTTTCTAGTACTGGTATGTGGCAGTAATCCTGTCAAGGGTTGGTTTTCAGTTGACTAAGCTATAACCTGGCAGCCATGTGCACTTCATACTCACCACAAATCTGTTAAAAAATATTCTGACATTCTCAGATATGTTTGTCTGAAGTTTTTAACTGCAGACTGTTAACATTAGGTGAAGAAAAGCAAGATTGAGTGACTATGAGCAAGTAAGCTTTGTAAAGAACGGTGAGTAGATTTTTCAAATGATCAACACTTAAATGGAACCTTTCATGTCCTTTTAATAGGTAACATCTGAGATGGAAATAACAGTTGCTTTTCCAGAGTTCTAGTTACGTACTGTGCGACCTCCTCTCTGGCCTTATAGTCAGAAAGCTGTTACTAAAATGATTTTCCAAACTTGTCATTTTAACCCTGACATCATCTTGCATCCCATGTTCTTGCAAAGACTTTGTGTTTTCTTCACTTCTCTTCTTTAGGAGGAGCTCATTATAGCTATATATGCATTACTGTCCACAGTAGTTATTCACAACATTGCCTTTTCCCCATGGTATTTACAGAAAGCTTAGCAATGGGTAAGACATCACTGTGCTGTTACCTCTCTTTTGTTGGTGCCTACCATCTGAATGTGACCCATGCACCTCTCTGTAATCTCCCCATTTCTCCTGCCTTATTTTGGGATTATAAAATTTCAGGGTTAAGTTGTTCCTTTTTTTTATTTTTATTTTTTTTGTACTTATATAACACCTTCCACAACAATTGTTTGTCATTTAAGAGTATTGTGCACTTGGATTTATAGGAAGCAGTCGAAGTGTGGTCATTGCTTACTTGTGATTTCTCATTTGAACTGTATGGTATTCACACATAAAGGATCACACTTAGCAGTTTGTGAAGAGCTCTTTCTGATAGGTCTTGAGTTTGTGCTAAATAGTTTTACTATTTTACTAAATGTGTGCAAACAGCAGAAAGCAAAGAATGGATAATGTCTAAAAGTATTTACTAATTTTTTCAATAAATTAGTTTTGTGGTGGTTGGATGGTTTTCTGTTTCCTCTGAATGCTTTGAATTTTATTTTGGCAAACATTGCAAGAACTTGCTCTTCAAAATTTCCCATTAGAATACCGGTATAAACAGAAATTATAATTTTTTGTATTTTTATGCAGTTTATGTGGAGAAAAATGGTAACTTAAACAGCTGCGTCAGTCTAGGAACAAAGCTCAAACGTTAAATAATTCTGATAATATCAGTTATCTGAAGGCACTGATTATTCTATGCTTGCACACCTATTTCTAGGAGTTAGGATGAGAACATTATTTTGGTTAGTGCTATATATTGCTTTCAAGATATAAGGGATTTCAAGATATACGGAATATTATAATAGTAT